TTTGCTATATGGTATTCCTATTGGTCACCAGGTCTGGTGCCTTTCCGTTTTCATTATATGTGTCACAATTCCTGGTAGTGATGGTGTAATACTATGCAATAATTAGAAGACACAATAGTTTATGCAGTACATGAAATTAATTTACTTTATAACTCTTGGCATTGACTGTGACACTTATACAGGTATGACCTTCTTTGGTACTAATAATGGAAGATATAATTACCTTATGTACACTTGGATTGACTTGGCAAGAAAGTACTTGTTTAGTTAAAGAAGCCAGGAGACTGATGTGGTTTAACACTGAATAGGAGGTCATATAGGGATGGACTATTGCAGCTTGCAAAGTTCAGAGAGGAGTAACAGTGAATTGTCTATATCAGGGAACAATAATGAGGCCATGGAGATCTTAATGTGAAATAAGCACTTGATATAAAATCTGTGAGTGACAGCAGAGTCTTTGGAAAGAGTGGAAATAGTAGCAAGGCAATGTGGAAACAAAGCCTTTGGTGGACCATATCCTATCTCATTCGGTTGCCCGTACCTATTCTGGAGATTCCAAATGCCCTCGAGTTGCAGACTGGGTCCACTGTATAAAACTTATTTCATTCTGTTCAGCTGTCCGTAACCCCCTGTTTGTTGTCCTAATGGAACAGAACAGGGGAGAATTTGTTCCCTAAAAGCCAGACGGAGCGTTTGTCGGTGTTCACACAGAAACTCCCGAAAGTAGACCGGCCGTTGCCTCTTTTCCTCTGGAACTATTTTGGGCTACTACCTCGTGGCTGGCCGGTCACAACTTTACCCAAACGGCGATTTCGTTCTACCAAAGGGATCTCAGCGCTATTTCTACAACTTGGGCGCTCAGATCCGGGCTATTCAGGGATATAAGAATTGTGGGGTTCTTGTGTAGTGTGATTGTATTTTTGGAGTGTTTTATGTATTTCATATGTGGTTCCCTGAGAGATAATTTAGTTACCTGTCTTTGACTCAATTATGTCCCAGACACAGGGACGACTGTGAGGGGTTTGTGTTATGTTGAATGGAAGCAGAGTCTGGCTCAGTAAACCTCAGTTGACTCCCAGAACTGTGTGTCGTCCAGTTACCGGGGGGAATCGGCTATATTCAATAAGCAGCACTTTGTTCCAGCTCGAGATATTCGGTCTCATGATTGCAGCTCCGTTACAAAGCCCATATGAATGAGAAAATTGTTACAAAATTATTCAGAGAGCATGGTTGAAATTTGTAAACTGGAGTATGTTACCAGTTTTGTAGCAAGACACAAGAACAAATGGTGAGAGTAGTCAGGTGGCAGTAGCTGAGGTTAGAAACCAGAGAAGGAAGCAGGCATACAGGGGTAATCCATGAAAGTAGTCAGGTGCAAGAACCAGGTTCAGGAGCCAATGATGGAGGACAAAGACAATCAGCAAGAGTAATCAGGAACGAGGTCTGAAGCCAACAATGAATGGAGTAACTAGACAGGTTACAATGGGCTCACAGCACCTGAGGCTACTAAGTAGGCTACAATGCAAGCACAAAGTATTCTCTCCAAACCCCGGTCCCAGACTTGCAAACCCATCATATGTTAACTACAACAATCACTCCAATCTCATACCCATCTCACGCTACTCTTCCTTTAAATCCTCCTTCCACACTGCCCTCTGGAATACACGCTCTATTTACAGTGTTACTAAATCCATAGCTGTGCATGATATTTTCATCTCTCTTCCCTACAATTACTAGAATTAACTGAAACATGGCTTTCTTCCTCTGACACTGCTACCCCTGTCTTTGTCCTTTGGTGGTCTTCAATTTTCCCACAACCCAAGAAACTCTGACCTCACCTCACTGCTCCTTCAAACCTCTACCCACACCCCCTTCCCTCTCTTTCTCATCATTTGAGATTCATTTAATCCATCTTTTCAAGCCCATCTCTGCTAACATTGCTGTTATCTATCGTGCCCCTGGTTTCCCACTTCTCTTCCTTGACCACTTTGATGCCTGTTTTCCTTACTTCTTCTCCTCTAACATTCCATCTGTAATTCTTTGAGACTTCAACATTCCCATTAACCCACCCTTGACCCCAGCAGCCTCAAAACTACTTTCTATTACCTCCTCCCTTGGGCTATCACAGTGGAGTAATTTCTCAACCCATGTAGCAGGCAATACTCTAGACCTTATTTTCACTCATGGATGTAGTCTATAACATCTGCAGCACTCCATTTCCTCTCTCAGATCATCATCTCCTATCATTTGCTCTCAATAGCCCCCGTCCCCAACTTCCTCAGCCTAACCCCCCTCAACTCAGAAGGAATCAGAGTTCTAAACCTCCAGCAGCTGTCAGCTGATATTGATTCCCAACTATTATACATTCCTACTTACTCATGTCCTTCTCCCAGGCTCCTAAAAACAAGAGGTGCCTGCGCTTATCCTTTCCTCTCGCCCCACCACTTGCCCGCTTGATCCTGTCCCATCTCACCTTATCAGATCTCTCTCCTCTTGTCTTGTGCCCTCCTTAACACACATCTTCAACTGATCTCTTTCTTCTGGCACTGTACCTGCTGTCCTTAAACATGCTACTGTAGTACCCATCTTAAAAAAAAAAACATGTCTCGACTCATCCTCCCCTTATAACTATCGTCCTATATCCCTGCTCCCTTTTTCCTCAAAGCTTCTTGAAAGACTAGTCTTTACCCGTCTGGCCTGCTTCCTCAACTCCAACTCTCTTCTTGACCCTCTTCAGTCCGGCTTCCACCCCCTCCACTCTACTGAGACTGCCCTTATCAAAGTCACTAACGACATTATCACAGCTAAATCCAAAGGTCACTACTCCATACTAATTATTATTGACCTCTCTGCTGCCTTTGACACTGTTGATCATGTTCTCCTTCTCCAAACTCTTCAGTCACTCGGTCTCTGTGACTCTGTCCTCTCATGGTTTTCCTCCTTCCTCACCCAATGCTCATTCAGTGTCTCCTTTTCTAATGATACCTCCACCATTCGTCCTGTCTCAGTTGGAGTCCCCCAAGGCTCTGTCCTTGGTCCCCTTCTATTTTCTCGTTACACTGCCTCTCTTGGCAAACTCATTACCTCATTTGGATTCCAATACCACCTGTACGCTGATGACACCCAGATATATCTCTCCTCCCAGGACCTCTCCCCTGATGTCCTGCAACGTGTCACCTCTTGCCTTTCTTCTATCTCTGATTGGATGTCGTACCGCTTTCTGAAACTGAATCTTTCACAAACAGAACTTCTTGTCATTCCTCCTCTTAATATTAATCCTCCTCTCTCGCTCTCCCTTCAGATTGGTGGTACCCATATCAGCCCACCATTTTAAGCACGTTGTCTTGGTGTTACTTTTGGCCTCACCTTTAAGCCTCACATCTGGTCTGTTGTCAAATCATGCCAATTCCATCTTAAAAACATCGCCCGCATCCGCCCTTTCTTACACAAGATGCTACTAAAGAGCTTGTCCATGCTCTAGTAATCTCTTGGATGGACTATTGTAACTCTCTCCTAATTGGTCTTCCCAATAGCCATATTGCCCCGCTACAGTCTGTAATGAATGCTGCCGCCAGACTGATTTTCCTCTCTAGTCGGTCCTCTCACACCTCACCCTTCTGTCAGTCCTTACATTGACTTCCTGTATACTACATGAGTCAATTCAAAATGCTAACCCATACCTATAAAGCACTGAACAATCTTAGCCCTTCTTATATCTCCTCAACGATCCATAGATATGCCCCTTCTTGGTATCGCCACTCTCCCTGTGACCTTCTGTCCGCTGCTTGCACCCGTACAGCCAATTTACGCTTGCAGGACTTCTCGCAGGTGGTTCCCTTCCTATGAAATAGCATGCCTACCGCCATCAGACTCTTCGATAGTCTTCAATCGTTTAAGAAGTGCCTTAAAACCCATTTCTTTAGGAAAGCCTATGGCCTCCCAGACTAGCCTCTACCTCACATACCTGTCTCTTGCTCTCTCCTAAAGAGCAGCTCTTTACTCTCTCCTCCAGCTCTGCTTCACTCCCACCTAATTTGATTGATATTTCCTGTCCTAATGTGTTTTAGATCCCACCTCCTATAGACAGTAAGCTTGTTTGAGCAGGGCCCTCTTCAACCTATCGTTTCTGTAAGTTTTCTTGTAATTGTCCTATTTATAGTTAAATCCCCCCTCTAATAATATTGTAAAGCGCTACGGAATCTGTTGGCGCTATATAAATGGCGACAATAATTAAAAAAAAAAAAATAAGTATAAATAGGCAATAGATGATTATATCAACCTGAGACAATTAAGCATTCAATCATGACATAACTAAGCAATGGAAAAAGAGGTTAGTTCAACCCTTACTTCGCATATTCTGACAGTATATCATCTAGGATATATGGTTTATTAAATTGTATTTTCTTTTTTTCACATCATCATTTTTAGGTATTACTATTTACAGTTGTTAAATATTACTGATGTAAGTCCAAAACAAACAAACAAACAAAAAAACACCTCAGCAGTTATTCACAAATAAGATCTCGATAAGGGTGAAAGACCATAGCATTTTCTGCAGAGGCCACAACCACATCAGCACATCCCAAGAAGCATGGGATGATGAGCTTGAGCCAATATGGACCCAGATGTCATCTTTATACAATATTTTATATAACATCAATTTATCTAAGCAATGATGCCTGCTTTTCATCTCTGAATACAAAATGTAGATGACTGAATCCAAAGATGTGAAGGTACAGAAACATTTGTACAAATTAGGAATACAAAAATAGTTTTGGAATAAAGATCCAAAATGTGACATTCAATCTGCTGGAATATATAAAATATATACATAGAGACATAAAAACTGCAGCCCATCAGTTTCTTATCTAGGCATCCAAATTAAAGGAAAAAGGTAAGAAAGAAAAACAGCCACATTACAGAAAGGTAAGGAGATAAATCAAAGTCACAGTATATTGAAGACATTTATTTTCTATAATTCAAAATACCTTGTTCTCTTTCTAGCATTTAGACTTCTTGGTTTCTGTGCAAAGTCCATAATTTGAAATTTCAATTGTGATAAATTGTTCCTCACTTCAATAAACAGAGCAAAAATAGACGGTAACAATTTTCCTGCCCATATGTTTGATCTCTGTTTGGAGAATTCATCTTTCATACTTTGGGTTGTCTCTCCCATATAGATTATACCATCTGGAGATTTTCAAAAGATGTACTATACAAGATGAGCCACCAGTAATATCTTGATGGATATCATTATTTATTGCTGTCCTCCATAAATCACTACTAAAGAAGAACATGCAACATTTAGACTTGACAAGAGACGGTCTCTTTGTGTAACAGGCTCTTGCTCTTATTAATTCATCCCTCCTTGGTGATTAAGTCCCGAGACATATAGATGTTGTTGACACAGGTTTTAGCTATTGGTCTTCTCATAGGTATGAATTAGCACATTGAATCTGTACAATGGCTGTTGAGTTGCTGATTGTGAGTGTGTACATAGTAATTTCATTTTTTCATAATCTCTGGTGAATCAAAAGTCATGTTTATTCAATACGCTATGTAAATGATAGTTTAGATAGACTGGCACAGTCAGTTTCTAAACATGATAAATGCTTCTTACTTTGGATAACATGGAGATGTAAGCTTAAAAGAGATTGTATGTATATGGCGAGGAATGTCTCAGATATAGGAATATAGTAGATAACGTTCTAGTTGGTATACCAATAATAGGGACACTCAAAGAGGTAAAATTAGAAAATAAGCAGACAGCTAAATCAACCCTACATGTGCAGTATTTTTTTTTAACTAATTCATACTTCAAATCTCACAACAAAATAAGTCAGCGTATTTCTTATGAGTATTTGTAAATTCCATCCATCTCTACACCCAAATTAAATTCCAGCAGATATTCAATAAGGGTTTTGCCCTTTCTGGAAGCATGCACAAGCAACTTACACCCTAAATGGTAGTAAGTTAGGAAAAATAACACGAGGGACCACACCTTGAATATGCTGTGCAGTTTTGGATACATGTTCTTAAAAAGGATATTATGGTACTGGAAATAAATCAGAGACAGACTATAAAATTAATAAGGGGAATGGAGGATTTTAGTTCTGAAGAAAGGTTAACAAATTGAAATGTTTAGTTTAGAAAAATGTGCCTCAGAAAAAATATGATAACGTTATACAAATATATTCAATTCCAATGCAAACCATTGTCTGGAAATGTAATCATAAACATGTCATCTGTTCAGACTGAAAGAAAGGATATTAAGTCAAAGTCAAAGGAAATGGTTCTTTACAGTAAGAACAATAAAGATATGGAATTTTGAAGAGATGCTTTTATGAAAGTCTGTACATATTTATAAACAGCGACAGGATGAATTCTTGCAAAAGCAATATTTAGGGATATGACATTTAATATGTGAGTTAACAGATTCCTTATCCAAGGAGATATCAGAGGAGGAAGACCAGGCTGGGAGGAGAACTTTGCCTCGGCACTGGTACAGAGGTAGGTTTATACCCTCATTTTTTATTTTTATTTTAAAATTTTGGGGGGAGATTGAAAGGTTACTCTAGCCAAGGGGTAGGCAACCTTTGGCACTCCAGATGTTGTGGACATCTCCACTGATGCTTTGCCAGCATAATGGCTGTAAGAGAATTTAAGGAGCTGTAGTCCACAACTTCTAGCTAAAACCAGTGTTTTTTTTAAATAACGTTTTGAAGACAGCCAAGTACCTCCGCTATCCAGGGAGGTTTCTTTCTGCTTATATCTAATTAGGCACTAATTGCACTTTGGTTTGTGTACACATATATTGTTTTCTTTGCACTTCAGATAGGTGACAGGTGTGGCATTGACCTATTATTTTCCACAAGGAAAACACACAGTGTGTGTTTCTTTAATGTACTCTGAAATGTATTTTGCAAGCGGATTTGTTGTGTTATTGATATTGCAGTTAGAATTATTATTTGTCTTTTAATTCCTCTTATTAAGGAATCATAACCTAACATTGCTTGTAAAGCATCAACAAGTCAGGCATGAAATAAGATTGTGGAGGCACATTACCAGGGGTTGGAGTATAGTGCATTCATCTTAAAAAATGGGGACAATTATAAAAATCTTATTTGGGAATTGACCTATGGATCTTATCAGAGTCCATACAGATGTTCAAACAGCTACTAGATGCATACTTGCAAAAACAGAATATTCAAGGATATAATCTTTCAATGTAGGGTAATAACTGCTGGATCCAAGGATAAATCTGACTGCCATTCTGGGGTCAAGAAGGAATTTTTCTCCTAGCTTGATGCAAAAGTGGAAGTGCTTCAAACTGGGTTTTTTGCCTTCTTTTGGATCAACAGCAAAAAACAAATGTGAGGAAGGCTGAACTTGATGGACGCAAGTCCCTTTTCAGCTATGTAACTATGTAACTATGTAACAAAGGGATGGTATTCGGTATACCAGAGATCCACAGAAATAAAACTCACAGTACTCTACAGCTGTATAATGCGTATAAGTGTTTGAAAGTGCTCCCAAAAATAAAACTCACAGTAATATAGGGATCATGGACGCACAAAGCTCCAAAGATCCTCAGCGAAACAAGAAAATTCAGTAATGTGTGTGGTCTATACGAGTATCAAAAACTCCAGAGCAATAAAATTCACAGTAAACACAGAGTGTTTTAAATAACTTAAAATAGTGACAGGAGTAATGTGTTAATTCATATAAATAAAGGAACACTCTTACTTCAAGTTGTTACGGTTGAAGGCGTGTCCTGGAAACCTTTTACGTTCAGGATTTAAACCGCTTGGCATCAGTTTAAGTTGGTTCTCCGGTGCCTTGTGTTTCTGCTTCTTCCAGCTATCCCTTCCTCGAGCTGCATGCACAACAGACAGGAAATGAAGCCCTAGGCAGAAGCGCAGGGCACTCATAACAACTATATAATAAGCTTAAAGAGATACTCCAGGCACCAAATCAACTTCATCTAAATGAAGGTGTAATGATGCCAGGAGGACCCGGAGACACTTTTACTTCAAGGGGTTGAACTGTTCTTGAGTGGACATTGAATGTCAAGTGGACAAGAGTGGACAAGAATGGTTTAACCCCTTGAGGTAAGAGTTACTCCGGGTTCTCCTGGCACCAAAACAACTTAATTCAGAGTGGGGGCTTCATAATTTACCAGGCCCTAATTACACTCTGTGATAGGACCATGAAATTCTGAAGTCTTCCCAAAGCATTAGAAGCAAGAGATCAACCACTGCTCTATCAACTTTCAGACCTGAAGCATCTGGGGAGCTGCTAGTGGCATGGGTAGGCAAATAGAGGCAATAAATATAGCTGTGCTATAGTGGTCACCAGAAATTCTCCAATAAACAGTGTTGACTACTGAACACTAGATGTTCATTAAGACAATACATGCATTTGTGATGGAGAATTATTATTATTATGTTATTATTTATATAGCGCCATCAAATTCCACAGCGCTTTACAATGGGTGGATGAACAGACATGTAGTTGTAACTAGACAAGTTTGACACACAGGAACAGAAGGGTTGAGGGCCCTAATTCACAAATAATCATGAATTAGCATAGATAATACAAATTTGTGACTCTGAGAACAGAGGGTAACAGAAGTACAATGCAAAGAAACAAACAAAAAAAGACAAAAATTTAATTAACAAGCTTTACAATAAAATTACCACTACCTAGTCCCATTGATTCTTAACTCTAAAGAAATAATTACATAAAATGGGACTTGCTGTAATCCCTGCTGTGCATAACAATGTCATTGGCTCTGATACTAAAGTAAAAAGAATATCACAGTGCAGGATCTGGCTTTTTAAATGAAATCCAGTCTAACACAGCCGGAAATCTTCTTAAAGATACCTATTTTCTCAATTTGATGCAGGAATCTAGAATTCCCAAATATTATTATACATCTTACCACAAAAGATACAAACAATATATTAAGGGTAATACACGTCACACATGATGCAGAATGCAAAAATAAAGCATTAGCAACATTTAACAGCTAATACTAGTAACTTATTTCAGTAGACTTATTTACCATTTTATTCTTCAAAGTAAATATTAGGGATCCTGGCAGGGACATATGCGTGCTGCCTTCGTGTGCCCTACGAGGATTGACGGCAAAATGAGAAAGGATGGGCATGACAGGCATCCTTGTCAACCTCGTCCATGATTGTTAAGCATAGGAAAAATAGGTAAGACAAAGTAGCCCTTAATTTTTTTAATGTATTTTACGGGGAAAACGATTCGAAAACTAGAACAGATTTGGAAAGAGGAAACAAGTGAAGAAAGGGGAAAGAGCCACTTTAATGATTTGTTACAGCTACTGGGCAACCTGATGAAGAAATTAGAACAGCCACGTACAGAAGAAATGTTCATAAAATACCAGAACTGAGTTTTTATCTCTTATAGGGAATCACCGCTATGGAAAAGTTGAAGTCTTCTCTTGGTGATAGAAATTGAAAGTAACTAATTTAACGTTATCTACCACCAATCTACTCCTAACCCTCCACTGTCAAAGTGGCCCCTGCAACTCCCCTTAGATGTATCAAATGCCTTTAATAATTATTTTATCGGGTGCTCCACCAACCTGGTTGCCAAGCTAACAAATGAAGCACATCCTAAAACTACAAATGTGGACCAGGCCCCACTAAATTTGCAAAGACCCAATATACACAAGTTAAATTTTAGACCTGTACCTATTAGTGTCATTAGAAACACCTTAATAATCTCAAAATGAAAAAACAGTCTGGCCTGATCAAATCCCAGCAATGCTGTTGAAGCTCAGTGCGCCGGCAATTGCTAAACCTGTCACACCCCTGATTAACGAATCCTTGGTGTCTGGGTACATACTCAAACTTTGGAAGACTGTGAGAGTAATGCCTACCCATAAAAGTGATGACACTACTTTGGTTTCTAACTATCGCCCAATATCATTGCTCCCAGTATTGTAAAAAATCTTTAAAAAAATGCTTCCACATGCAACTATGTGAGTATTACCAACAATCAAACTATCTGACCCCTGATCAATCAGGCTTTCGCCCGAATCACTGAACTACAACTGTCCTCTTAACAGTATGCAATGACATCCAAACTGGCATGGAACAAGGAGGCCTCACTGGAGCTATTTTCCTTGATTGACACAGTAGACCACGACATTCTACTGCACAAACTCAAAAACTCAGGTATTGGTGATCATCCGCTAACCTGGTTTCGATCATATGTATCGCATC